CGGGCCCCGCTCGTTGTAAACGTTTGTCATCTCGCGAACATGACTGCCCTTATCCATTGCCTGATTCCCTAACTCATTCCTTATTACCTTTCTGAACAGGTGTTAGCAAAGATACTCGGGAATGAATTAGGTAATAGAGAAGGGTTGTCATTTTCGTCAAATTTGACCACGCTTCTTTATTAACCTCATTCCCTACTATCTTTGCTAGCGTCTGCTAAGCAAGGTAGTAACCAATAAATGAGGCAAAAGAGAAGGGCGGTCAATTTCGTCAAAAATGACCACCCTTCTCTATTACCTAATTCATTTCTTACCACCTGCTTAGCAGGTGTTAGCAAACATAAAAGGGGATGAATTAGGTAATGGAGAAGAGTGGTCAATTTTGACGAAATTGACCACCCTTCTCTATTACCTAATTCATTCCCTATTACCTTTTCTATTACCTGTTCTATTACCTAATTCAAAGCTTCTATTACCTAATTCATTTTGGCGTGGAAGAAAAAGAAATTTTCTTTTTCTCCACGCCAAAATGAATTAGGTAATAGAAGCTTTGAATTAAGTAATAGAATAGGTAATAGAAAAGGTCATAGGGAATGAATTAGGTACTAGTAAAGGCGGTAGGGAATGAATTAGGCAAAAGAGAAGAGCGGTCATTTTCGTCAAAAGTCACCCTTCTCTATTATCTCATTCCTGACTTCCTTTCTTAGCAGGCGCTAGCAGAGATAATAGGGAATAAATTAGGTAGTAGGAAAGGGTGGTCAGGGTGGTCATTTTCCTCAAAAATGATCAGCCTTCTTTATCACCTACTTCATTCCCTGTTGTCTTTGCTAGTACCTGCTCAAAAAAATAATAAGGAATTAGTTAGGAAATTAGGTAATAGATAAGGGTACAAATGTTCGCGAGATGACAAATTTAAAAAACGAGCGGGGCCCCCTGATGTTGTCTTGCTACACAGCACGGCGGCGCTAGGCCAGTCTGCTGCCCGTGGCAATCTTAGTTAAGACTGCGGCCCCGCTTTGCGGGGCTGGAAAAACCAAGCATTTCCGGCTTCGGCACGTAGGCCCTTTACGGTATTCGGGATCTCATAATGACCTTTCCAAAAAGTGAATTTCAATCTATTCAAAATTGAATGAAAAGAGGTGTTTGTAGAATTAAAAGAAAAGTTACTTCCTTGATTAGGTGCGGCGCCCGCGCCGCGCGCCCATTGCGCCACGTCAAATTTAAACAGCCACAAGAGAAGAGCAGGACCGCCACCTGTGACGTCGCGACAACTCTGACCCATTCGAAACTTAGTCGGAGGAGATATGTTATGTTGCGGCTGAACTTGTTTGCAAAGTTGGCTTCATTTTCGGACCCGGCAGAATTTTAAAAAAAGGTCCTTATTATTCTATTTGAGATAGTGAGGTCCAATTTTGGAGTCCAGATTCGAGATCCAAAATGGCACAAATTTGGGCCCATCTAGCCACATTTTTTGTTTGTTGGGCCGCACTCAACGCGCTTGCAACAGTTCAAGGTCTTACGCGTCGACAACAGAAGGACACGCAGACTTTGGCCATCGGCGAGAGCGAAGGTGCAGAACGCGGTCGCGCACGGTGTTGCGCAATCACACTGCAGGTCTTGTCACCTGGACGCCACAGCAAATTATATTTCTTATTTGCAGGGTCACCATTCAAACAGCGAGTTACCAGAAAGGATCATGGCGCAGTATTGGGACAAACCGGCACCTTGTTACCTCCCGTGACTGCTGCTCCAGGGCAAGAAGAGAACAATTTGAAGAAGCTTCTAGGAGCTCTACGCAGCGTATGTGGATCTCAAGCCATGCCAGTAGCGGTTGCCGAAGCGGTGGCCAAGGTCGAGAGGACCCCCGCTATCTGTACAAACAAGACTACGACTCTGAACGGGAGCTGGCCCGTCCAACTGAACCGCACCCTCGTATGTGCGCACCTCATTAGTGAAGTCATACTGCCAGCTGTCATCTGGTAGCACGCCGCTCCATTTCTGATTGAAGAGGCAGTCTTCAAGCTTATGCGCCCAGGTATCGGCTCGATTCTCACCTACTGTAAGCATGTGGCAAAACCTCCAGACCGCGACATGAAGAACTCCGACACAAGGTGATATATAATCTGACTCTCGTTGCACACTGTGCACAAAGGAGCTCCACATGGCCACTCGCCCCCACCATGAGCAACCACCTGGAGCTGCCACGGAGCTGCAGCCTAACCAGGAACTTTCTTGGCTAGGCGCCTTGGCCGTACCGCTCTCTCTTCCGTCGGCATCTTCTCCAACACCGCGTTGAGCGCCATCCTCAGTTTCTTTTGAGTCCGTGGCAGCGGAGGCTTCCATCATCTCCGGTTCGGCTCCTCCAGATCCACAGGCTCCTGCATCCTTTTTGTCCATCGCCAGCTCCCGAAAAGCTCTCCTTGCTGAGCGCACCCTGGATTCTGCCTCTATTTCCTTGGTTTGGAAGTGCCATGGTCTTCTGATACTCTGCAGCGCCGGCTTCCAAAGCTGCTACTTCGTAGAGTCTTCGCGCCGTTTGTACCTCTTGCAATTGCTTGCAGGCCTGTCCCAGGTGAGCAGTGTGACTGTGCAAGTTCTTTGTGATACGGCGCCCATGATCCTGGTGCCGTCCCGCATATCACCTGCAGTGGGTGCAGAGATATTTAAGTCCTCTTTGAAGCGTCGCAAGCTTGCGGGAGCACGTGTTTCATTTGAGGATCTCCAGGGCAGTAAGGCTGTTCAGGAAGGCTCCCCGCGCAGCTACACCCACGGAAGCCTGGAGCAGCAGAATGTGCACTCAGAGTCAGAGGGATGTGATTGCTTATGGTTATGGAGGGTTCAACAGGCGCCTGTAACCTGTTGTGTGCCGAAGAGTACGCGGGCAGAGGGGATTGTTGCTGCTCTTCATGAAGCTGGTGCCGGATGCGTTATCGCTGATGATCTCGTACCCGTTTGTCCTCACCGCCTGGCTGTTCGAGGGCAATCGTGCTACCATCGTCCTCGATGTTGATGCATGGGCTACGGAACATGATCTATGCAAGGCATGTGTTGCTCCACGTGGATATATCCTTTTTTATAGGGACCGGTTGTGGCGCTCGGCCGAGGTCAGCCTGTTCAATGGCATGTTGCTTCATTTGCGCGCTGCGTCGGCTTGGAAGATACCTGGGGTTACTCAATTGCTAAGGCTTGAGCCATACTGCAATCCAGCGTGGCAGCAGTGCACTTTTCATCAAGCTGAAGAGCTACGGGATGCTGTTCACGTGGCAAGTTCAAGCACATGGCAGCTTTCACGTGATGCTTGTGTGTTGCAGGGCCTCCACTCCGGTTATATTGACAACATCATCCGAGCAATGATGCCCGAAGGGGAAGTTCATACCAGCAGTGAGCATTGTGTAGGCAGTGCTTACTATGTGTTCGTTGATGGATCTGCGGTTGCTAGCTTGTCTGGGTGGCAGGCTGGCGCAGCCTTTAACGTGTGGAAGCGTGATGGAATTTTGTGGAGATTTCTTGGTTATCATGCCGCTCCTGTCGTGGTTGATGCGGAGGCGCAGGGTGATGTAGCTTGTCTAGCAGAATGTACTGCCATGGCCCGTGGCATAATGTGGTGCATGACGCTGCAGGATACACTTCCGTGCTTCATGTGTTATGATTCCAAAAGAGCAGGGCTTGGCACTGATGGATCGTGGGAGGTCACTAGCGGGCCAGCAAGTGTCAAGGGAGTGGCCATGGGGTGTCGGCACTTGGCGCAGTTGACACGGCATCTGCGACCAGTTGAGTTCACCCACGTGAGGGCTCATCATGGCACCATAGGTAATGAAATCGCGGACACCGCCGCAAAAGCAGCCGCGTGGGGTAAGCTTTGCATGGAGGTGCCGTCGGGGGCCATTGCGTTGCTCGCCAGCCCAAATCTTGCGTGGGCATGGATGTTGGTCAAACGCCATCAGATTGCTTTTCCCCCAATTGAGTTAGTCCTTGCTAGGTGTGTTGAAAGGCCGTCGGAGGCTACGCAAAAGCAGCTTGAGATTGGCACGACACATGCAGCAACGGAACAGATGCCGCGGTCATGCGTCTCCAAGTGTTGCCCGGTGAAGCTTGCTTCGTTTAATGTCCAAACCGCCTTGGATGCTCGTATTGTTGACAAGGACGATCGGCTTTTCGGTGGCTCCAAGGTTGAATTGATGCAAGAGGTCTTCCGGTCACGCGGGTGGCACGTCATTGGTCTACAAGAAACTCGGTTACGGAGCCCTGGCATGTGCAGCATGCGGCATTATCTAGCAGTGCAATGTGCTGCGCGTGATGGCCATCATGGTGTTGCGATATGGTTCGCAAAATTCCCGGGGCGGGATTCAATGCCCACGGACAGCATCAAGCCATCACACATCACTGTGCTGCATGGAGATGAGCGTGTGCTCCTTGTGCGATGTCGTGCGCCATGCTTGCAAGCAGACTTTTGTGTGTTCCATGCCCCCCAAAAGGGTAATGGTGAAGAGACATGCCGGAGCTGGTGGCAGTATTTCGGGAGTATACTGTCCAGCTTTGCTTCCGACAGTATGCCGCTCGTGCTACTTGGTGACGCCAATGCCAGCGTTGGCGAGTGTGTTAGTAATTGCGTCGGAGATCATGATGCGGATCCAGAGGACTGGAATGGGGAGTGTTTCCACCATGTTCTCAGTAGGCACAAATTGTGGGTACCGGCTACGTTTGCAACCTGCCATAAAGGTGCGTCACATACTTTTGTCGCTTCACGCGATGAGAGCCTTCATCGAAATGATTTTGTGGCTCTTCCGTTTGAGTGGGGATGGGATGTGAGGCCTAAGTCCCACACTGATTTTACGGTTGACATGGGGCAGAAGCGGCCCGATCATTTCCCTGCGGTAGTTGAACTGCAGTTGCATATGCGTAGCCGTGTCGATGGTCGGTCCGCTAAGAGGGACTGGGAGGCCGGAAATGCGTGCCTCATGAAGGAGCTCATGTTAAGCTGTCCGGAGGTTCCATGGGAGTGCAGCCATGATGAGCATGCAAACCTTGTGATTGATCGGCTACAACAAGTGCAGGACCGTGTTTTCCCAGTCCAGGTTGCAAGACCGCGGAAGACATACATTACTTCCGGAACATGGAGTTTACTGCGCAAGCGTGTTGAGGATAGGCGAAACTTGAAGGCTTTTGATGGAGAGATTCAGAAGGCTTGGTTAGGGTTTATATTCCACACGTGGCGCAGCAATCAGGACAGTGCCACCAGGAGTCGGCGTTTGCATCGTGGGTTGTGTGTTAACCGGGCCGCACATGTTCGTGATTACATGCGTTCTTGGAAGGACCTGCGCAAGTCATTGCGTAGTGATAAGGCGCACTTTCTTGAGAGTTTGGCGGGACAATGTGCACGGGACCTTGAGTGTGGCCGTTTTCATGCCGCTTTTCAAGGTGTTCGCATGTTTCGGCCTCAGATGCGTCGTGGGGCGCGTCGTGCTAGGCCTTTACCGCAGGTCATGTTGGAAGATGGAAGTTTCGCTGCGGATGAGCAAGCAGTTGCTGACCGTTGGCTTGAGCACTTTGCATCGGTTGAGTCTGCTGAGGTTGTTCCCAGGGAAGCGCTGGCCGAGATAGTGTTGTCGCATCGGGAGGAGCGGCATATGGCAAAGCATGTGTGCTCACAAGGCGGGTTCATCCCCACATTGGCTGAGTGGGAGCGTAGCTTGCGCAAGACCAAGTTACGCAAAGCCCCAGGGCCTGATGGTATTCGTGGAGAGCTTTTGCGTTTGGATGTTCCCTCCATTGCTGAGGCCACGTACAGTCTAATCCTGAAAACTTCGCTGCGCGGACAAGAGCCATTAAGATTCAAAGGCGGAATCTTGGCAGCCCTGTATAAGGGGCGTGGGGCGCATCATGACTGTGCTAATAGCCGTTCCATACTTTTGTCGGACAGCCTTGCCAAACGTTGGCACTGGTGTTTGCGTGATGCCCTCATCCCCCATATTTCAAATGAGATGCATGAGGCACAGGCGGGGGCGGTCCCTGCTCGTGGAGTTGATTTTGTGGCATTTGCAGTGCGTGGGATGATGGAATGGGCCAAAGAGCGTGGGCTGTCAGCCGCACTGATTTTCATTGATGTTCGCGCTGCCTTCTACACAGTGTTTCGGCCGCTTATTGTAGGCCATGATTTTGACGATGAGTACCTGGCGTACGTTATGCAAGTGCTCCGGCTTCCGCCAGTGTTTGCAGAGTGGTTGCGAGACATAGTTGAGGATGGGCATGTGGCATCAAAAATTGGGGTTCCTGAGTTCCTCAGGCGACAGGTTTTGGATACCCTTACCCATGCGTGGTTTGTCACTCGTGGAAGCCATGAGATGGGGTATACCTGGGCAGGAACTAGGCCTGGTGACCCCCTTGGAGACGTTCTGTACACCATGTTGTGCAGCCATGTCTTGAGTGAGGTTGAGACCCGTATGCGTGCATCAGGTTTGTTGGTTTGCGTGAAAGGACCGGAACTTAATGTTGCTACAGCGCCGATTCCCACTTGGGTTGATGACAGTGCTGTCCTTCAAGTTTCGGAGCGTGCAGGTGAGCTTATCCCTAAAGTTGCTGCAACGTGTTCCATCTTGCATAACGTTTTTGGCGAACATGGCTTGACGTTGAACACCAGCCGAGGAAAATCAGAGGTCATGCCTATGTTGCGCGGGGTAGGGTCGCTTGACGCCAGGCGAGCTTTGGATGACATGTGGAACCGAGGAATAACATATGCTGCGTTGGATGGAAAGCATGTCATCCATTTTACTTCGACGTATCAGCATCTAGGTGGCCGCCTGGACAGGTCGCTTTCCTTGATGCCTGAGATCAAGTCACGCCTTGGCAGTGCTAGAGCCGAGATCGCTGCGCTGAAGCGTCATTTCTTCAGGTCACCTGACGTGTCGGCTGAAGCACGTGCCATCTTGTTTAGAGCCCTGGTGTTGAGCAAGTGTTTGTATAATGTTGGTTGTTGGAGAGAGTTGTCCAGGAGTGAAGGGAAAGCTTGGCGACATGGCGTTGCAGCTCTCTACCGCTCCCTGATCCCTGCACAGGAACAGCAGCAGGCAACTACATGGAGTCATCATTTCCTGGCAGCCAAGGTTGGCACGCCTCATCCAACTGCTCTGCTAAGTGCGATGCGTTGTCAAATGCTTGACCATGTTGTGCCCTCAGCTGGTTGCTTTGTGCATGAGATGATTGAACAAACGCAGGGCACGCATTCTTGGACATCAGCAGTCAAGCGTGATTTGGCATGGGCGGCTGAGCTTGGTTGCGTTGAGCCAGATGTTGCGAAGTTGAGTATCGGTGCGTTGGTCAAGCTTGGTCGGTCCGGTGTTTCGTTCGCAGAGGTCTTGAAACAAGCCATCGAAACACATGCTGAGCACCTTGGGGAGATCAAGCGACACGATGAGCTCGATGATTTACATGAAATTATCAATGAGCGAGTGTGCCCCATCTGTGCAGTTGGGTTTTGTGAGGTTCGGCAGTTGGCCGTGCATCTTAGCAGGGTTCACGGAGTCATGTCGAAGTGGCGTTTTTATGCGGGCCCATCACATGCTTGCCAGTCGTGCCAGGTGCAGTTCGCGGATCGAAGCAAGCTCCTAAATCATTTGCGGTATTCAGTCCCAGCATGTGGGGTGTATTTGGAACAGCATTACCACCCCATGGAGCTTGATCATGTCAAACAACTTGATGATGAAGATAGGGCCCAATACAAGTCTGAAGCAAAGTCCGGAGTGGTTTGTGATGCTCGCCGGCATGCGTGGAGGATGTCGGATGTTGTGAATGATCTTGAGCCATGTTGTGGCGAGCCTCCACGCCCCATACCCATATTGTGCACTGAGGATGTTGTGAAATAATGTTGGTGGGGCAGCGGCAGCAATCACTTCCTGGCAGTCTATCCTTTTGCATTTATTGCGGTTTTGTTTGGCATATGTGGCTGGAAATGCAGTGCAAGCATGCGACGCTTCAAGACTTCTACGTTGCGTTGTCAAGTGTAGTCTATTCGCCTAATTCACAGTTACATCACAGCGATGTAGCAATTTTTGCTCTAGTCTGGTGTATTTATACAGGCGCGGCCCTTAGGACCACGGATGCCACAGAACAGAACAGAACAGAAAATGGCCACCCTTCTCACGCTTGAAATTTCCCATGCCCTTTTCTTTGCTCTAGAACCCTTCTCATCCTCCCTGAAGGCCACCTGGTCTTCGTTGTGTTCATTCCTCTCCTTTAACCAGGCGACCTGCTCCACCTTAACCTTTCTCCCCATTTCCAAGTCGAATACCCACAGAGTCTTCAGCGCTGAGTCGAACGTAGAATAATGGCTAGAAGCTGGTACTGTCACAAGCTGACTGCAGACCAACAAGTGCAGTTTAAACCTAAATGATGCAATCTCTCAACTCTCTTGTTGCGCAAGCTGTCCACAACATGTTGAAGTTGCATTGCGATTTGGTGCACATTTCCTGCGTGTTTTTGCTGAGCAAGTGGACTTGGCGACAAACATTATTTCACGGCCAGAAAGTTCAATCAGACGGCCATTGAGTCATGTCATGGACCAATTTTGTATGATACTTCAGCTCTAATATAAATCCTCGGCACGCGAGAAACTTTCTTTTTTACATTTGTGGCATTTTGCACAGTTGCATTTTGGATTTATTTATAACTTCCATGACAACTTCAAACGCGTTTGCGAGTTAATTCAAACCTTGCTAAGTTGGAAGCTTGCTGCTATGACAGCTTTAATTTGGGCATGCTTCTGCGTGCGCCCAGCTGGAATGTTTTTTGATGGGATGGAGTTTGCCGTTTTGCCATTTACACCCCTGCGCCTTTCAATTTTTGGCTCGAACTGAACCGCTGAGCCCGAAATCATGAGGATGATAAGTTAGAGATATTGGTTCTAGCAGTTCGGTATTTTACACGTTATTTGTGTTCCAAAGCCCATTTCCGCATTCCACCAGTGACTTTTGCCAGGCATCAGTTTGTTGCGGAGTCCCATCCAACGCCCAGGTGCGTCGCATTCTTCTCGCCTTTGAGGAAGCTGAGTGTTTGCACCATTCCTAGCCATGGTTCAGCAAAGTTCCGTCCAAGAGCAACTGTTCGGATGATCTTTCTAGAAGAGAGACCAGTGGGTTGCTTGACAAAAAGTTCATTAAGGATAGCTGCCTGATGCCTGTGCCTCTTGACTGGTTCTAAACTAGACGACCTCCCTCGATAGGTTTAAGTGGAGGGTTGGATGCACGTGAAGTTGTCAATCCCCATGTTGAAAACTGCCCGTGCGTTGTGCAAAAATGTATATACACACACTTGATTCCGCCTTGCATATCACTTGGATCTTATTTGATATGATTTGCACTTTGAAATCCTCCTTTAAAGGGTCTTTTGTAGATCTTCGAGGCCTCGAGTTTAAGAGGCAATTTCACAATTCCAAAAATTCCTGTCATGTGTATGACAGTATCTGTTGCATATTCGGTGATCTCTCAAGTTGGAAGGTGGGAGGGGCGTTTGAATCCAAAGTTGCACCTTCCCTAGCCCACCCAACTTTGGTCTTCAATGTCAGATGTGGCATTGAAATTGTCCCTCCCTAAACCCACCCTTGCAGGCATCAGGATGCCGCCACAACAGCGTGGAACGTGTATGTGCACTAGGTTGCCACAGGTGCCATAGAGGTCAGAGGTGCACACAGGTCCGGAGCAAAGGTCGCTCAAAACGAGCGTGGGCGGAAAGAGCCTACCCCAACCGTTGTGTTGGGTGCAAGTGAGGTTGTCAATCCCCATGTTGAAAAAACTGCCCGTGCGTTGTGCAATTATATATATATATATACACACACTTGATTCCGCCTTGCATATCACTTGGATGGATCTTATTTGATATGATTTGAATTTTGAAGTCCTCTTTAGAAAAAAAACACCTCAATTTCACAATTATATTTTCCAACTGATTTGTGGACATATTGGTTTGTAATGATTCTTGCAATGTGATTGGTCTTGGAAACATGTGGAAATGAAAGCTTGATTGAATGGATGCAATATTTTCGGGCTTATGCAGACGTGAACTTTTCTGAGGAGGCCACTGCCAAATTTACTTTTTCTTGTTGGAGCATCTTTTTGAACGCGTTGAACACTTCGACGATTGGAGCAATTTGCGGAGATTGTAAATTTCAGCAGCATGTTGTAGTATGTAGTCCACATGCGTCCACCCCAACAAGCCATTGAGCTGCAAACGCGTTGGAGGTGACAATGACGCAGGCATGTAATAGGCATGTAAATGTAGATGCGCATGCACATTCCTTCTAATATGTCGTCGTATAGTCAGCAAGCAGATTTTGTTTAACCGTTTGTCTTCCGGCAAAATCTTTGCCTTGCTGTGTCTTCGAGCTATGCGCCCATCCCAATGGTCAGTCCTGGTCTTTGGGGACATGTTGCGCAGTGGCACTTGAGACTCTTCATGCCTTCTTCGTCATTGATCCACCCTATTTCCCATGAACAGAAACTCCTTGTTTGGCAGGACTCGTGGGCAGACTACATGCATCCAACTTGGCCACAGGTTGGTCAAATATGATGCATGGGCTTGTAAAGCATTTTGGCCCGGCTTCGTTGTTGACGTCTTTATTATTTACATGTGCCAAGCTGCATGCTATCGTAATGATTAAATGGCTGGTTTGTGGTAGTTGCGCAGGTCCTGGGACGGAGATTGGGTGCACGAGTGATCAATTTTGCTCAAGCAGGACGGAAGTTATGTGTGGGTTGACAACTGCGCAAACCACACATTGACATGGCAGAGGTTATGCCTGACAAGTCTATATGGCAGAATTGGTGCGTTTCGATCATTGCTTTCCAGCATCCTTTTCCAATTTTATTTGTGATGGTGGGAGGTTCTATGTGCGTGGACATCAGAAACCAAGCGCAGCGGGCGCTGATCAGCCCAGAGGTGAGATCGTGTGTGACCATTCAACTTTGCTTTTTCAGCGGCAGTTCCCCAGCTCGGTTCAACCCACATCATTGTGAAAGATAAGACATGTTCAGCGTTTAGTTCAGGTCGTTTTCTGCTATGGTTTCCCTTGCGTCAACGCTGAGGTGCCCAAAGCTGTGGGTGGCCTGTTCCTGACTGAAACGTTAGTCGTCATCCATACGCCGCAGCCTTATTTGCAGAATCCTTGATGAGTATAGTTTGGTTTGTTGCAAGCAGGGTTTGTGCCTTCAATGCCAAACATGAGGTGTGGGAATGATTTCATCATGAAGTTGGCAGAGGCTTTGGAATGCTTGAATTGTGTATGTTTTTTGCCCAAGAAGCACGGGTCTGAAGGATGTGATTTGATGCATGCTGGCCTTGCATGCTTTTCGCGAGATCTCAGCTTGCAGTCTTTGGTCTTGCGTTCGGACCTTGTGGATGCAGGCTTTCATGGGGGGCGGACTTGGTGGCCTGCTCGGTGGTGGGGGAGGCCATGGGATTTTTCAGATGATATTAAGAAAAAGGAAGAAAAAAGGAAGGGATTCTTGTTTCGTCACATTCTTTCAGTACAATTGTGTGTCTCTGGTATCACACAACAGATTGCAAGGGCAAACGGACAAAACGATTAATGGATGTGTGCGCAGACCAAAAAACGTCCTACGACCCGGGACGTTACTCTCTCAAAAATCTCCTCTGGCAATCTTTGCAATTTTGCTATTTTTTGAGGTGCCTCTTTGGCCACCCCCGAGATGCTGCAGCCGAACCCCGGCGTGCGCGAAGTGGCGGTTTGCAGCCCAGTTTTGTGTCCTTCAGTCATAGTAGTTCCGTGGGGGTCACGCTTTATATCGCTTTATGTGGTCATGCTGTCTTTGCAACACACCAGCACGCAACTGTCAATGCAGCAGATGTTGAAGAGCGGCCTTAGGTCCAGACGCAGTACTTACGGTAGAGTCATTTTCTGAAGTCGTGGTGTGCAGTACCACAAGAGGTCGTCAGCAGCCACACGTTGTGGCCATCTACATATCACTGCCTTGCCTTGGGGGGACTAGGAAGCATTTTACCCCAAGCATTTAAATATTGCGGTAGGGCCTCTTATTGTAAAGAAGTTCAATGCCAAAGATACATGCTTCCTAGGGTTGCTAAAATTGCCAGTTCATGAAAGAGTTCCTCGAATCCATGCACCGGGCACGAGCCTCGGAGTACAGAGCAGCAGCCAGTGTCTTCTCTTCTGAACAACATGTCTCTTGTTGAACGCCCTCCCAGGCTGGGGCCAGGAACTTTCTGGTCTCCGGCGTCGGGGTCCCAGCTGGAAAAACTGTGAAGCGGGTCGCCAGAACCTCTCTCAGATGTCGAGGTCCCGATTTTTCTGGACATGCCAGTTTTCAACATGGCCATGCCTGTCCCACAGGTTTCCTCAGAGCAATTCTTTCCACGATCTTTCAGAAGCCAGGCCTATCATTGCTGGAATGGTGAACTCTGGGCGCCTAGAGGTCAGCTTATCCAGCTCGTAGTGGTTTCAGATGTCTGGGCGGTCAGGCCTTGGGTGTTGGCCCTGGAGACCCGCCACGGCTGGCAGTGGAAGTGCAGGTGCGTAGTGAAGGGAGATGGTCTTCGTTGAGTATTGGGGATGAGAACTCAGAGGCATCTGCTCTGCACGAGCGGTGGGAGGAGCTGGTCGAGGAGCAACGCCCTTGCAACGACTTTCTGCAGGCATATGGTGGGTTGGAAAGGACTTCAGCAAGCGCCACACCGACAGTAATTGCGTCTTCTTCGACGAGGTCAGAATAGAGCAGACAGAACAGGATGGCTGAGTAACAGATGCTTTGGTCTGGAGTCTGGCAGGTTGCGGCATTGGAGCGGCTTCGGCTGTCCTTTGGGGAAGCAGTCTTTGACCGCTCCATGTGGGACTTCAGCATGTCCCAAACCTAGCGGGTAGAGCAGCATGACCTGGCGTGGACGGCATGAAATTCAGATTTCAAGGTTCCATCCTACTGCCTGGGGCCATGAGCAGCTGGCTGTGGAGGCTGATAACTACTGACAGCTCAGTTCAGCAGGCTTTGCATGGCTTTGCTAGAAGTGGCAAGGCACAGCGTGTGGTGACCGAGAAGATACCTGCCGTGACTGTCCTGCACTCAGGTGGTGTCACCTGCTTGAGTATGATCCCGCTTTTTCCTTGCTCCTGCATCATCGCATATCATCGTATCGATTAGCATGGCTGCCGTCGACTACAGTGCTGAAGTGTAACTACTATACTGAAAATGTGAAAGCAAACAGCGAGAATGCCCGGTCCTCAGGGAGCACCAGCTAAACCTGCAGCAAAGGTCGCCTACTTATCTAGAACATTGCTGCAGTGGCTGAAAAGAATGCAACATCTTCAGTTCTGGCTTTTTCTCCAAGCATGCTGCAAACATGTCAGGCCTCAAGCGAAGCCACGCCAAATGGGTATGCAGGCACATATTTGGAGTCTTCCCTGAAGTCGAGATAGTCGATTTCTTTCATCCATATGATGCTGTGTGGAATTCTGACTCCGAAGTCACCGAAGTGACGACAGAGCTGTAAGCCTTCACCCTCAAGAGCTATTTCGGAAGAGGGACCTGTAGCCACAGCCCTGGCCAGGCGCCGCGTCCTCGGCTGCCTCAGCCGCCACAGGGCAGGTACGGTGCCTTTCATGATCGTTCTTGACGCAAACGCAAGGGCTTCAAAGAAGATTTTGGAGAGTCAGGAAAAGAGGATCAAAGTGCATGTGCGCAATGTGGGGACCTTAGCGACTTAGTGATTGGACAATACTTCGCTCTGTTTGCCGAAGAGCTGGGCCGAGCGCCAGGTGAAAGGCGATGTGGCCTTTGAAGTTGCATGCGATGGCTCGTGGAACACAGCCCGTTTCCGGGAAGAGGCTGCCTGCCTGCTCTCATTGTGCTCGCCACATGCCAAGTTTGTTGCGGCTGCAAGCAGTGCACCAAGCAAACGTGGTCGCCCCTGCTCTGCATCACCAGGACAGGTTTGCAGTCTAGCAAAGGGCAGGGGTGCTTAAGCATGCAGCCAGCTGATTAGCTGTGCCACACAAGCTCTGCATCAGTCTCAGCCCATTCGGACATATTTCCACTCAACACAGACACTGCCCTCCGAAGCCACATATATCTCTTGGGGCCATGCCTGGTTTTGTCCAGGCAACGTTGACCTGTCGTTGCGTCTGCATCAACTGACCCTATACCCTGATCTTGAGCTTTGTCGTGTAATCGATCTGCACCGAAGTAAAGCTTTCGGACGTTGCCTTGAATGGCGCCAGGCATGGCGTTTCAACAGTTGAGCAAGTGCACGAAGCATGGCCAGATAGGTGACTGCTGTCGTGCATCTGCTGTCGAGGCACATGATCTTCCTCCCGAGAGCCTGCTTCCAGCACGGTCGCCTGGCCGACACCCCCTATTGTTCCAGGAGGGTGCATGCCATTCGTGCAGATAAGAGGAAGGAAGAGAACTTTGGAGTATTCGGGCGAATTCAGCTGTTAGTTCGTGAGTCGGTTGCGGAGAGATCAGCAAACAGGATGTCGATGGTGTGCTCAATGCTTACATTTCGGGCACGCCCGAACTCGACCCGCGGCTTATGCAAAACCTGCGGCGGACCGTGGTACAGACCAACGCAGCAACTCGGCTCGGAACATCTGATGCCTGCTGCTTCTTTGACATTAGGTCGGTCAGCATAAGCTATTATTCACATGTTGTAAAGGACCTGGTGCTCTCTACCCAGTGGCGAAAATATCCGCAGCATCGGCAGCGCCTGCGAGAGGCCCTTGAAAGGAGCCTCAGCCGATTTAGAACCTTGAGCCATGTTGATCTGTGTTGAGCTGTTGTTTGTTTGCAAAGTTTCCCATCTTTCCTGTTCTTATGGAGGTCTGGCATTCCGGCGAGTCGCATCGTTCGCATCCTCAGCTCTTGCTGTTGACTCCAGCGCATTCAAGCAGTGTTTTCCAACACGGCAAACTTGGTGGCCATTTGTGCAGGTAGAGGTTGGTGTGTTACACCTGTTTAGGGGAAATGCCTGGGGAAACATGGCCAGGAGACTCTGGGCCTTTGTTTCGCTCTCTCTGGTGGCGCCACCTCTTTTTCTGCTGCATGGCGGAAACATGTCAATTTTCCGCGGCAGCATGGGGCGCTTGAAAGGCTACGGGTGGGGTGATCTGCGCAACGAGCCTTGCGAAGTGTTGGATTTCCAGTCTCAGGAGCAGATGTGGAGCTTGCTAATGACGGGCAACGTGAGACGTGGAGACGTTGTGCTTGCACAAGCCCAGTCAAAAACATCCGGCTTCCTCGTCGACTATTGCATCCTTCCAGAAGCTCTGGACGTTGTTCACGTCAATCCTTCTTGGCGAGTAACCAACACTGCCCTGACTGGCGAGGCCCTTGAGGCCACCAGGAACATTCCACGAGGCTCAAGCATCATGCAGGAGCTGCCATTCATTGTGGCATGTGACCGCAGTGATTTGTCAGGCTCACGTGCACGTGCTGTCTTGCATGTCTTGCAAGCAGCCCAGCAGGATCAGGAGCCAGCATATTCTATTCGGCAAGTGTTTGAAGAGCTCACAACAGGTAATCTGGAGGAGGAGTGCATGCCAAGTGCGAGACGTTTGCTGGCCAGTGGTTCTGCAATTTCAACCACGGAAATGGCAAGGGTGCTGGCCCGGTGGCAGAGCAACTGTCAGCGCATATCGGTACCACCTTCGTCAGGTCTGTACAGGCTGCATGCCAAGCTCCAACACTCCTGCAAGCCCAATTGCGCTGTGGGTGTACTGTTTTCGACTGGGGAGGTCCTAGTGCGAGCGCTTCAAGATATTAGCAAGGGGGAACTGCTTACACGAAACTACGAGCGAGAAGCCTTCCTGGACCTTGCCCTGGATAGGAGGCGGCAACACCTGCTTCAAACGCGTGGCTTTCTCTGCCTCTGCCCTCGCTGCCTAAGCGAAGGCGGAGACGAGATGCCAGAGTACGGCGGCAGGCCGCACTCTTCCAAACGAGCAAAATATCGTCTTGTCAGGCAGTGGTTTTGGAGAGGGCAGGGTTGACTGGCAACAAGCCACAGACTGCAGTGCAGGGCAACATGACCCAGCCCTTTCCAGTAGCCTTAGAATGCCTTGGCCAGTCGCAGCTCTTGCTAAGGTCGGAGAGACTCCTAGCTTCTGCGGCGGACCTTACTGTCGTGCACAGGCCCCCTTGCAGGAAACAAGCTCTGATTAGAAGCATTCTGTTTTTCGATCAGGAGATCAAAGCCTTCCTCGATGCCCACGCAGCCCGTCTGAAACAGATCTGAACGAAACACACCGCAAAATTCTACTGCACGCGGACATTTTTTGGTGCCGTTGTGTTCCAGGAAGAGCTTCTAGATGATGAGAAGCGCTGGGCTGCCGTGGATGATGTTAACATTGAGGAGCAGGTCCGGGAGAGTTTGTTTCTGCGAGCACGGCCTGGCAACAGCGTCATCATGAGGATCCTGCGTTGATGAAGGGCCACTTCGCAGGGTTCTCAGTCGAGGGCCTTCGAGTGTGCTGTGCGATGCCAGGACTTGTCCTCACTAAGGTGAAGACCGATCCGCTGCGCGGCCTGACCGAGGAGCGTGCCCAAGCGCTCGTGTCGGCGCTGAGGGGCGCCACTTAAAGGCATACTTCTTGCCCGAACTGTGAGTCAGTCTTTTGCAGCCTCAGCTCAGGCAAAGCCTCCTAGTGCCTGGCTGGCCTGGTTCTGAGAGACGGTGCCGGCCCCCAAAGTGGGGCCACCAAAGCATCTGCTCAGCTTCCCAAGCTTCACCAGGGCTTCAACTGGCTCAGTGAGAGCCTCTCGAGCAAAAAGATCCTGCTGAAGCTGGCAGCAAAGAGAGCATCTGTACATCTCTGTACTTGCAGGTGCTGTCAAAGGCTCCGTCTGGCTTCTCTGATTCCAATTCAGTTTGCGTCGGGGACCCCAGACCCGAAGAAAGAGTCCATGGCGGGTTTTGGTGACTTTCAGGTGTTTGCCATGAAGGGCAAGTTCCTGAATGATGGGACTGAGACCTTGGAGCAGATGGGCCCCCTGTTTGCATTGAAGTCAGCTGTGTCTATTGGCAATCCCAGCCTCGGGTGGCCGGATCCAAAGTGGCTTTTGCCCTCTCAATTCAATGCGAGCTTGTGGTAGGCTTACGGGATGATCGTGCAGGGGCAGATCTTGCAAGGTTGCAAAGTGGCATTTTTGATTGGCATGTGAGTCCAACGAGGCTGACCCAAGAAAGTGATTTCGTCATTTTCAGTGTATCTTCAAGCGTCGACCCTGTCAATGCCGGGTGAGGCCTGCAAGACGGTGGACAGGTCATCGCCGTCATCAAGTGAGCCCCCTTGGACCTTCGGGAAGCCGATGTCATGGCAAAATTGTTTCGTGCGTTTGGAGTACTTAGTGGTATCCAAGCCTTTGTTGACTTCTAGAATGGTTGTCGCACTAAGGCCAAGGAGTGCGCCCCCTCGGTGAGGTTCAGAAGCGTGGCCGCTCTGTGACGGGCAGGTGGGCGGAGATGTGGTGGGAGCTGATTCTTCGTGTTTTCTGATGGTGGAAAGTTTTCTTTTCATCCCCCAACCTTGGACACTTTCTTTCTAAGTTCCAGCCGTATTCTGACCACAGGTTTTCCTGGCCACGCGTGGTGACGGTGTCACAAGATGGCAGACTTGAGCTGTTGCGGAGACCGAACAGGTTATGTCTGCTTCTGTATCCAGACTTATACATCGCTTTACTTCTCACCATTTTCCCAGGTAGGCAGGACGATTCCAAGGTTCACGTCCTGCGCTGAAGGTCTTGTCACAGCATGCCAGGAAGATCGAATGATGCTTGAGTTTCAGGACGGATTGATTGAACCTGGAACCACCTGCCGGCTTGAAACATGCCCAAGGATATTGCATATCTAAAAGCGTGAGCACGTTTGTCCGCCAGTGCTGTTACTTGTGCATTTAGAGGCGGCAACGAGTGTTGCATTGCGGGAACTGTAAGCGCCAGCGCGCGTCCGCCTCGGCAGCCGGGCTGGCAAGCCGGCCAAGACATCGCAAAGCAAGTAAGTCCTACAAAGTAAGAAGAGTCTGGCAAGGCTTGGGGTCGGGTTCGGGGGGTGGGGTCTGGGGGGTAGGGTCGGGGGGTGGGTCGGGGGGTGAGGCGGATGGGGGAACGCAAAAAATCGTATGGTCCAAAACCCGAAAATCCAGTGTCATTGGGGTACGTGTTTTTGAAGGACGCAGGGGACCGGCGGGGCGGTTAAAGATTCAATTTTTGGGCGGGGGAGGGTATGGAGAGGGGAGAACGCTTGAATCCTGGTCAGCTCATTCCAGACGCCAGTCGGCCAGAGGAAGCCCGATCCCTGCAAGAGGAGAGGATTCTCTTCAGTCTGGGCATAAATGTCGCTACTGCCGTATTAGCAACTTTTGTTGATCTGGCTCCAAGCGTCATCAGCGGGCGTTTTGGGTCGCTCGCGGTTCGGAGTGGCCGCTTGAGCAGGTGCACCAAGTGCCTTTGTTCTTTGTAGAACCGAAGATTTGACATTTTTTTGCACTGCCACCTGCGCATGTATCGAATGCTATAGATTTCTTTTGCAGTTCCTTAGCGGGTCAGGTACCCGCTGCAAACATGGTAACGGTGGTCAACTCGAAAGCCGATGTCCTGAAGGCCGGGCATCGCGTTTGCATGCTGTCGCGCTGTAACGTGCCATAGCCGAGACATGTAAGACATGTCCATTGTCCTAGGCCTCCCAGGCGCTGGCCGTCAACCTCAATGCTGCGAAAGGGCTGCAGGAGGCCTCAAGGGATGATGGGGTCGGCCAGTCATTGACCTGGTCACATTTGGCCACTGGGCGCTGCTGGGTGCCAGGTGATGAAGTCCAATCTGGGGCCTCGAGGCCTCTGGGGCTGCCTTATTTGTTCCAGCGTTCTCTCGCATTCAAAGCCTGCTGCGTCGCAGGAACGCTGAAAATGCTGGTGGGTGGTGCTGGGCAGATTAAGATCACCAAGGAGTGCGTCTATGCATCTCAGCAGTTCACCACTATCCAACTTGACATTCTTCCTTCATCCTGCGGCCAATCATGGCCTCCACTCTGCGTGTCATTCAGTCTTGCACAATGCAGGACGGGTCTGTCCTGCTCGGCGAGATGCAAATTCAGCATCCTACTGCCTCCATGATCGCCAGAGCCGCAAGTGCGCAGGACCTGCCCCGCACATGCACAACGAGCTGGAACGTTTCGAGCATGAATCCTTCCTATGCCAAACCTTGCCTCAACCGAAATCACGATCTGGGAGCAGCATACTCTTTCTGACTTTAAGAGCCATTCCTGCTCTGTCAGGATGAGTTCACGGGAGACGGAACGACGTCTAGGCCATCTATGCGTCACTGCTGTGGATTTGCTCGGCTTTGGTGCATTGCTGGTCGGATAGTCTGATTCCTTGATCTGCCCAGCGTGATGTTCATTGGCGAGCTGATGAAGCTCGCGGAGCAGAGCCTTGCGGAGGGTCTTCACCCGAGGCTCATTGCAGAGGCACTGAGCACACAAGCCTCACGCAGTCATCAGTAGTGTATGTAAGTTAACATGAGTTTACTGCTCCACTTGCCAGAGCTAATTCTAATTCTCGAATTGGTGGCAGGGCTTCGAGCTGGCTCGGGAGGAGACCGTGAAGTTTCTGGACTCCTTCAAGGCTTTTTCTAGGAATTTTGTGTATGAGGCTTGGCACGTGCCCTGCGCAAACCGTGGCTCAGATCCACATGGACGACCCGCTCACCGACCGGGAGAAGTTAGTTTGCGTTGCGAGAACATCACTCAGGTGGGCTTTGGTGGCTCAAGTGGCAATGCAGAAAGCGTGGCAAACTCAACGCGTCCAGGACGAAGATCGCCCCGGGTCTCGCGGATCCCATGGCAGAGGTTGTTGTCGACTCCGCGCCTCATTTGCATTGCAGGAGGTTTCTCTTGGACCGGGACAAGCATGGGCTCCCAGCAAAGAAGCCCTTGGCACCATCGATGCTCTCTTTTACCGAGGTGCGCATGATCAAGAAGCAAGGATCCCCGCTCGACCTGAACATGGTGGAGATCCTTCACATGAAGTGCGCTGAAAGATTCACAGATTAACAGGGTAGCCGGAATTTGCTTTAGGGCTTATGGTTACAGGAACAAGCTTGTGACGGAGACCCGGCTCATCAAGGGCCTCGTCTTGGACCATGGTGCCCGGCATCCTGCCCCGGGCCAAGTTCTTGCGCTTGGCGGAGCCTTGTTCGGGTTTGGGCCGAGGACATGCCAAAGAGGCTTGAGAACTGCCAGCTCCTGAGTGCGAGGGCCATCAAGACAAATTAGAAGTAGGATGTAGCACCAGCTGAGCACGTGCTGAGGCTACATCCTGACGTGCAATGTCTCCCTCGAATATGAGAAAAGCGAGGCAGTGCTGGCAGTGCTGATGCTGAAGCCTGTGCCCTTCAAAGCCTTCCTCAAGCAGAGGTGAACGCAGGATTCTTCTACAGCAGCTCCGAGCAGCGGGAAAAGTTGGTGGAGCGAGCGAGCCACGCTTTAAGTGCTGTTCTTGCAGATTCGCATTTGCGTGGTTAGAATGCAACGGCATAGTAGTCACGTGTCCACATGGAAGCTTATCATCGTCTCAGCTGGATTGACAGTGTGTGTCAGATCTGCAACCCTGCGCCAGTTCCGAGCGGAAATTCACAGATGAAAAGGTGAAAAAGATCATCGCTCCCAGTCTCAATCAGATTCATTGGTCTGCAGCAGAAGACTAGCTTTGTCACGAAAGTCGCGAAAGCTCCCCGTGTGGGAGCTTCGTTTAGTAC